GATGAGACGCGCAGACAGCGCTTGTCTCTGGGGTTGTCCTTGTGCCCGTGTCCGTGTCCGTGTCTCTGCTTCGATCTGGATCTCGATGCCGATCGACGTAGTAGACATCTTATCCTATCGCCTCGAAGGGCCAGAACATTGTTGGAGAGGCCATTGTACCGATGAGACACAACCACAACCTCTCACAGACTCGAACCTCGATTCCATCCTCTGTGTGAAACATACGACAGAGGAAGACAGAGCGTTCGTTGGCTCCCCATGGTTCAACGCTTCTTTCACCGTTGGGCGAATCCTTCGTGCTGGGGATCTGCCGAGAAGTGGTTTGTTGGGTCTAGTAATGGCTTTTGTTGGCCGCCGTCCCGAATATGAGGGGCTCCACTCACTCAACTCTAATCAACTTCCCCTGCTTGCAATTACTTCCGATTCTGTTTGTAGGCCTTGAAAGTTTGCACTTAATATTCTGCCTGAAGACCTACGTTAAGAAACTTGATATATAGTGAGCTTGTCTTTGCCTTTTATAGGTATCTCGACTCAGAACAAAGTATCTACAAGATATTACAAAGCGCAGGCATACCTTACAACATGATATTACAGCGCACAAAGGTAAAGATGCAAATGCAGTCACTTTCACATGGATCCCGCTCTCGCGCCCTGCAGACGTTGGTCATAGCTAAGCCCAACTTCGCGGATTACATGTGAACGCAGATTTAAGACTACTGCAAAAATCAAGGCGTATTTGAAGAAACTTGTTGGTTGTGTCTGGAAGCGAATCTGGTGAATCCATGGCCAGAGCGTTGCCGTCATTCTACTGAAAAGACCTTTACCAATAGTATTGAGATCCGGTCTGTCCCGTCTGCTTGGCGCTTCTACTGACTCGGGAATTGGGCTCTCAACTGTTTCGGCTATGACATGATACTTTTGGTAGGTCATTTCCTAGATTCATGGATGACACAGTCTCATCATGAAAGCGGTTGGACTTACATCAACAGTAACTACCATACCATCACCACCATATTCCATCACATAATCCTGCAACTCTGCATCCTATGGAGCTGACCAGATCTCCAATCTGCTGTGGAGATGGAGACTATTCAAGGATGTGAAGCTGCAAGGGGTCAGCTGCATTGCTGGGTCCCGGCAATTCGCCAGAGGCCCCCCCCTGCATCCCTCAAAGCACAGTCGGTGCCAGTTAAGATGCAGAAACACAATGACTGCATCTCGACCTCGTCGAACATCGTCTTGCTCGGGCTCTGACACCACCGACGTGGCTACTGCGGTGCAACTGGACAAATTCTCGGATTCGGGCGGCAACGATCCTGTCCTACCTCTTAGTCCTGCTGAAAGCGTCACAAGGGACGCCTTGGGATGAATACAGGTGACGCTACCATGATGGAGAGTGGATGTCAGGCTCGCCGCGATATCTCTGTCCTACCCAACTGGATCCTCCAACACCCGAAGTCCAGCGGTGTGTTCTCCCTCACTGAACTGATGGGGGTAATTCGGCGTCTTTGAATCTGTCCCAGGAAGCTGGCTTGCCCTCTTTGTACGAAGGACCCAAAAGTGAACGTGGTTGTCAAACTTTCTGAGAATAGGTATGTTGAACAAACGCAGTCGACCATTCAGTGCACGAGAACAAGACAAACAGAACAGACTGTCGACCGATCTTGGAAACACCTACACAGATACACGTCCTACTCCGTATGTCGTCGTGCGTCGGTATGTACACGGCGTAGCCAATCAGGCCAGGACAGTTTGCATTGCCTATGGCCTTTTGGCAACCTGCTGCAACAGAGGAAGATCGTCTTGGGTGAATGCAGCTTGCATCAGCTCGGGCATGCAGAGACTAATCTCCATATTTCCGCTTTGGAATAACACGGTAACATGGGTGCGTTGGGCGATCCTAGTGTTAATGCCATCGTGGATTCCGTTTGCCGAGTTGGCAGCTCAAAGCAACATGGCCCCCAGTCGTGCAGATACACACCCTGGCAGCCATTACCCCATCCAGCCACTCGGGTCTTTCGCCGCGTCGCCGCACGGGTTTCCTCATCATCACTGTCGTTGTCGCTTGGAGTGAAGCATCAGGCATAGCTGCCTTACAGAGTACTTGAAGGAAGTTCAGGCGACTGGAAAATTAATGCCGCTGTCGGGGAAGTTCCCCATATGAGTACACAATCTGTGGCCAGTGTTGGGTGAGTTGTCAGCCCCGTCACCACCACTAATACAAGAAGGATAGACTTGACGCCGAGGTTGTGCTTGCCGCCCGCAGCCCAGCCGGTGAGTCCGGACGAGAGACACTAATGGCCTGTTAAGGGGCCGAGTTCGTGGTATACAACATGTATGCGTGAAACCAATGGTCGAATGGTCGAATGGGCGACAAGTTTGCCGGTTGGTGCCATCCAGAACTCACCTTGTCCAGTAGCAGTGGGTTAGCTTGCATCACTCGCAGTTTTGGGCAGTGATGATAGATTGGAAAATGGGAGGCTGTTTTGTTTCTCCAGCGCATGGGTTGGTAATGACACTCGTAGATTCCATCGTATAGGTAGGTGGAGGAAGATGTCCTTTCCCAGGGGCAATAAGCAGTCAACCGGGTTTCTACCTCGAGCTTGACGCTGATGGACGTGTTGGCAGATGGAGTCATGGGACCCCAGTCTCTCTCCACATGGCCGTGTTTGCGTGAATGGGTAGGCATGAGAAACACCCGCATCGTCTTCTTGGCCGTTAGACGTGGCTCACAATGATATGCCCAGCATCAGAGTGATAAGTGGTGCTCCGAGTCGTGGACCTGCCAATAGCCCGAGCCTCGTCGCTTCACGTGGCATAACTACATCGAGCTCGGTGTTGCCTTTGCTCAATGAGGATGCAAACATGATCTTACCTTGTGCTCTGCTGCCACCTATCAGGCACAAGTGCAGGCGCCTGGAGGAGGCCTTGTATATGCGAGCAAGCGGACAAGAGCATGGAACAGAGATCTTGATGTCACACCCGACGAGGACCTTGGTCGGCTCCGAGTGGATGGGTCAGCTCTAACCACTGCTCTCTTGGCGAATCTGGACTTGCGCAAGGCGTACTCCGTCAGCTGTGAGGGTGATAGGCAGAGCCAGGGCGAAAGGATTTCGGGCCGTAACGGTGGCTGCACGTCATTGCTCGGTGGTTGTCTCTCTCTCTGTTTGGGTATGTGATGGGGCGCTTCAGCATCTCAGCGTGCTTCGTACTCGAGCCGTACCACAGTCCGTACCACGCCTCGAGAAGACGCCTTGGCCCAGTCATATTTGCTTGGCCCCTCCGTCCACTGCTTGGGGAGAACAGCTTCGTACACTCCGGCTGGGCAGGGATCCTTGTGTGTCCGGGCCTCTGAGTGCCTCACACTGACCGCTCGGTGGTCTCATGGACCACCGCTTCGTGCTAAGGCAGTCCTAGTCAGGCCTAACTTGAGCTAGAGTAGCTCTTTGGTGATGGCGGCCGCAACGGTTTAGACTTTCAAACGCTGTTGATATTGGCACACGGCTGGCAAATGGCGAGCGACGCATTGCGGGAGTTAGTTTGCAGAAGTGGCCATGCATGATGAGAGCTGAAGGCCGCAGGAATTCATGAGGACAAACGGCTCAAGATGGTGCCTGGGGATCGTTAGCAGGTACAGATAACATATCCACTGTAGTGGTCAGCATTATTTGTACCTGGATCTTGAAAGATCTGGACAGGGGCCAGGTGAAACGAAAAGCAAACATCGTACAGCAGCACCGCATGGAAATAAGCCTGCAGCTAGTTCAATATACACCTGTTCCAGCACCGCAAACAATGGGGACATGATACCTTACCTTATGCTACGACCATGCGCGTACGGAGTATGAGCATGTACTTCGTACAATCCAAGCAAGGGGCCTGCGGCCACATCAGGCCTCGATTGAAGTTACATGTACTCCAGACTCGACGCAAGGCGATGGCGCGACAGGGGATCCCGGGATGGCCATCCTGCAGCCCAAGCTGTATGTGGTCCATCCGTTGACCTTGATGGTCCTGAGCTTCGCCGGAGTACCGATAAAAAGCAAGCATGGCACCTCAGGCACCTCCGGCACCTCCAGAGGCGATGCCTCACGCTCTGCTCACGACCATTGCCCTCAGTCGCACGGTGGTCAGTGGCCAGGGGCAGAGAGACGGCCATTGGAAGAACAAGAGCTCGAGCCACGACCAAGACAAACTGCAGCGCTCGAGTCGCCAGAGGTCCGAGTCAAACAAGCAGGTTGAGCTCGAGGCCATGCCGAGCAATTGTCGTCTGTGCTCGTTCTTTGTTTAGCTGAGGTTCCATACCTTACCTGATGATTCGCTCTTGGTGGCTCGTCCATCTTCACCGTCGTTCTATTTTCCTCTCAATCTCGCCATCTTGGCTTCCTTGGCATCGCCTCCTGCAGTTGCCATTCAATTGCTGCGTCTCGAATTAGCAGGAGTCCCCGGCTGCTTGCCCGAGAGCTTCCTTCCTCATTCTTCGAGTCCAGCTGGCTTGTAAGTGAAGGACCACGACTCCCTCCTTCCCCCTCCGGCTATCGAATCGCCATCCTTATTTCCTTCTCCTCCTCCCTCTTCAACTTGCTCTCCGTCTTTACCTTCTTTTTTTTTTTCTTCAATCTCGCCTCGAACCCATTGTTTACTGTTGACTCGCATCTTGCAAACAGCGCACGCCAACTCACAATCTCAGCGCTACATCTTCTCGCCCATCTTCAACCCGTGATCCGGTACTCCAGGCCGCTTCATACTACCACGTTACTGCAGACATTCTCGTCAGATATATATCGTCTGAGTAATCAGCTCTTCTCTTCTTTTCTCGTCAGACTAAGCTTCGTTCCGCCTCGACGCGGCAATACCGACATCGAGTCCAAGTCCCGGGATCTTTGCCTCTCCCAGACGTCCGCTTATTGCAACCTCAGCCCTCGATATCGATCGACCTCGGCCTTGGATCTGCGTCCCGTCCGCAATCTGGGTCTTCAACAGCGCTAGCCCGTATCCTTCTGTCAAGGGGTTCCCGGCATCTGGCTGTTGGCTCAACATGGCCGCCGTTGCCAACGAGGGCGCAGTCCTCGTGACTCTCAAGTATTTGTATCCAGCTGCTGTCTTTCTCTATTTCCTCGCCTCGTCTCTCGTGGCTACCTGCACTCTGCAAACTCTCAAGAAGAGTCAGAATGCCCGGCCGGAGCGTCCTGGTCGAAAGGCCGTTATCTCCATACTCGGATTCTTTCTGTCGACCTACGTTGTTCAACTAATCATCCTCGGCACTCAATCTATCGTCGAAAGAGCTGCTCCCCTCGAGCATCAGGTTATCAACTATTTGTCATGTACTCTCGTCTTCGGTATCCTCTTCATTCAGCTTCTTGAATCCGACACCATCGTATGGTATCCTTTCCGTGGATCGTGGTTTATCGCGCTGTTCTTTGAGGTCGTTATCTCAATCCTGACGGTTCTTCATACAAGTCAAAAGGTACTCACCACCTATGACATGCTCCACATTGCAGTCCTCGGCCTGAGACTTGCTTCGCTCCTCACTCTAGCAGTATGGACATGCCTTGGCATCTGGACGAAAGCCCACCCCCCAGCGACAGATCAGGAAAGACAATCTCTTTTGCCAAAGCCCAATGGAGATCAATCCGACACTCAAGCCGCTGCTGGAAAGCCTGGCAACACTTCTTCCTATGGATCAACAACACAAAGCGAAACCACGTCCGACCCAGAGTACAATTGGGAAAGGAGAGAAAGAGAAGCCCGTGAAAGCATGGAGAAGAGGCTTGAAGAAGTCGGAAACTGGTGGCAATACGCGAAGGGCTTCGCGGTATGCAATCTCCGTTCACAATTTCACAGGTCCCTTCTTGCCTTTGGCTCTCCATGAATAATTGAATCAGTCTCCAGCTGACAACCTCTCCTATTCCAGATCCTGTTCCCCTACATTTGGCCGGTAGGAAACCGTACTTTACAATTGCGAGCGGCAGCCGTCATGTTATGCCTTCTCATTTCGAATGCGCTGCATCTGCTCATTCCTCGGCAAACCGGCATCATCATGGACACCCTTGGTGATGCATCTGGCAGTCCCTGGGCAGCCATCCTGGGTTTCGCGTTACTCCGACTGGCAGCTTCTGAGTCTGGGATTGAGCTTGTCCGTCAGTGGCTCTGGATACCTGTCAAATACTATTCTCAGGATGCCTTGACTCGCGCGTCTTATTCCCATATGATGAACCTTTCGGCTGATTTCCATGACTCTAAGAGCTCATCCGATATGCTGATGGCCATTCAGGGCGGCTATGCCGTCTCAAACGCAATCGAAAACATTCTCCTCTCTGCCGTCCCTATGCTGGTCGATATGTGCGTCGCAATCGTTTACCTTTCCATTACTTTCGGTCCGTACGAAGGCCTAATAACCGTGGCCACCGGAACCGTCTTCATCATGTTCGCAACCCGCCTCGTCGCTGAATCCAAGTCGGCCAGCCGCAAACGCGTCAACGCCATATACCAGGAGCATTACATTCGGCACTCTGGGCTGGTCGGGTGGCAGACAGTCAGCGCCTTCAACCAGATTGGCTTTGAGGACAACAAACATGCCAACGCAGTGACGAACCGATGGCTTAAGGAGCAGCAGTATGTGATGAGTTGGTTCGTTTCCATCGCATTTCAGACGACTGTTCTCACTGCGGGCCTCATGGCAAGTGCCTTTCTTGCCGTCTTCCGTATTCACAATGGACAGGCGACACCGGGACAGTTTGCGATGCTTCTCATGTATTGGGCCCAGCTCACCGCACCGCTGCAGTTTTTCGCCAGGCTAGGCAAGAGCATGAGTGATAACTTCATTGATGCGGAACGCCTCTTGGCCGTCATGAAGACCAAACCTACGGTTCAGAACAAGAAGAATGCACGACCACTCAAGTTTGTATCTGGGGAGGTTGTGTTCGAGGATGTCTGCTTCAGCTATGATAAGCAGAAGAATATCATCAACGGCGTCAGCCTGCATGTCCCCGCGGGACTCACAGTGGCCTTTGTAGGGGCAACTGGAGCGGGTAAATCGACTCTTCTCAAGCTCTTGAACAGGTTCTACGATGTCACAGGGGGCAGTATCCGGATCGACGGAGAAGATATTCGCGATGTCGATCTCTTCAGGTAAGCTGTTATCCATATGGCTCCCATTACACTACTGACTCATACCTTCCAGTCTGCGTGATCGTGTTGGAATCGTTCCTCAGAGTCCCATTCTCTTTGACGACACCATCATGAACAATGTGCGCTATGGCAGAATCACAGCAAGTGATGAAGAAGTGTTTGAAGCGTGCAAGGCCGCCAGCATTCATGATAAGATCTTGACTTTTACAAATGGTATAGACTATAGTATCTGACGTAAATATGCATGTGCTAACCTTGTGACCAGGCTACGAGACGCGGGTTGGCGAACGAGGAGTGTGAGTACTAGGCTTCCTTTCTCAGATCTATTCTCTATCTCGGAAGGTTGAGCTGACAATCACAGGAAACTGTCTGGCGGAGAGCTCCAGCGTGTGGCGATTGCCCGGGCCATCTTGAAGAAGCCTGACATTGTGCTTCTAGATGAGGCTACAAGCGCGGTTGACACGGATACCGAGCAGCAGATTCAGCGTTCTTTCAAAGAGCTCTGTCAGGGCCGCACTACCTTCATCGTGGCGTATGAATTCTCTCGTAGTCACTGAGTCGTCGGAACATTTGCTGACCAATATTGATGCAGTCACCGGCTCTCCACCATCATGAACGCGGACCGCATTGTCGTCGTTGAAAATGGTAAGATCATCGAGCAGGGCACTCACGATGAGCTCATCATTACCAACGGGCGATACGCGGATCTGTGGTCGAAGCAAGTCTTCTTGAAGCCGCAGGACGATGACTCCGCCAAGGTATCCGATGATGCGAAGACTCTTGCCAACGATTCCTGCTCCGAGAGAACGTCCACTGAGCCGTGCGAGCCGCAAGACGAAAGCTCGCCCGCTAAAGTGGTCCAAGAAGGCGATGTCAAGGTAGTGCAAGAAAGCAATGGCAAAGCAACACGAGAGAGCGATGGCAAAGTGCCGGCAGGCAAGAAGTGTCAGAAGGAGGTAGATTCTGACATTAATTCTAACACTTCACAAAATACTGACGGATCCTGTTAGGGGTCCCGATTGAATCCAGTGGCCCCTGAATTCACCCCTCGGTCCATGGCAGCAACCGCGACGAACGCCTCTAGCAAATCGACCCCTGCAGCATATCCGATTGTCTCTTCGACCATTGGCAAGACTGGGACTTAGGCAGTCACAGGCCACCCAAGCAAACTACGATGGTCCGACGAAGTGTCCATCATAGATGAACGCGGGATGAACAGTACACCAAAGAGCCATTTGACCGAATCAAGCCGCCCTTCAGAAGCCAAAGGCAGTTCCGAGAGCAGTTTCGCCGTCTCTGAGCTCCGAGCACAACCCACAGTGATTGTCCAAGGCTCAAGCGTCAAGCCGCTTGTCGTGGAAATAAAAGTCAAGACGAATAGCGCTGCGCCGTCTACTCCACGTGATACCAGCTCACTCACGCCTGGCAATGCAAAAAGCACCACAGATACAGAGGCCATTCCTCCCAAACCCGGCAATGTCGTGTTCATGCGACCACGTTACTCTCGTCGCGTCCAGTCAAGGAGTGAGCCCACCTCGACTTCCCCTGTGTCTGAGTCAACGGATAGCAACCTGCTTCCAGCGAAGCCAGCAGACGACACTACCGTATGTATATCTGGCAGTTCCAACGATGGATAAAGCAGGCGACTAACTCATTTGACAGGAGCAACGTCGTGTATCCGCCCCGATTGCGCAAGCCATCAGCAGCAGCAGCGGCACCAGCAACAGCAGCCCGGCGCCTTCTCTGATCCCCAAGCCTGGCAATAAAGGCCTGCCCGCCGTGAGACAGCTGCCAATTCCCCCGCGCAACTCTAGTGATGGCAAATGTGGCATATACCCAAGCCCAGCTCCCAGAGAAAGCCCGGAGCGAAGATTGCCAAGAATACCTACAGTCACCAAAGTGGTGAGAGATACGACTCCCATTGCGGCAATGGCTACCCCCACCAAAAACGAGAATCAACCACCGCAGAAGACTGGTGAGAATCGGTCGACCGTGGCAACTTCCGGCCGTCCTGGTCGAAGCATCAGACGCATGCGAGCCGGAGCTGAACGTGGACGCCGAGGCCGCGCTTCTCAAGGTCCCGCGGCACCCAGCAGCTAAGAACCACTATCAGGACCAGGGGACGAAGAAAGAGGACACCCAGGCCTGTATAGGTGCTTCTCGACGCAATATTATTTTGGTTTGTATAGACATTATCATATGCATAATCGTTAGACACGCGCAGACCGAGTTGACAACACACATTTGTGGGCGATGGACATCTTGCGTGAGTCGGGTGAAGGAAGGGAGGGGTCTATGTTTTGATGGAGTTAATCACGAAGGAGCAGCATGGAAGAAAGGCCAAAGAAAGGCGGCAGTATACCAGTGTTATATATGTATATACTAGGGATGGTTCCAGAGACACTCTGCTTGATGTCGACGAAGAGCCACCATTGCTAGCATCATGATGATGGAAATGGAGTGCCTGTTTAGCTTGCTCTATTTATATCATTAACAACGCGCGCTTCGGCCATTGCGCCTATTACTCAGTCCTACCTTATCTAGCTGAAGATGTCGGCCCTTTTGTTTCTGTACCTGTTTTTCCTTGGTCCTGCTTCGTCCTCCTCTTGCAATATCGATATCGCCTTACCGTCCCGCACCGCCGGAGCCAGGAGCACCTCCGGCACCTCCAGCACCTCCGCCACCCATCATATTCCGTGCCCTAGAAAGCCCAATGATGAGCATATTGCACATTGCATCGTTGCAATTCCACAATCGAGGGAAGGAGAACTTACATCTCGGCAATGTTGGGGTCGGACATGAGGGATCCCAAGTCGGGCATGCCGCCTCCGCTGCTGAACTGGCTGGCCATATCACGAAGACGAGGGTTGCTCATCAGGTTGTTCATCAGGTCCGGGTTGCTCATGAGGTTCTGGGCCATGCTGGCGAACATGGGGTTGCTCATGATGGAGCTCAGGTCGGGCATGCCACCGCCGCCGCCGCCGGCACCACCACCGAACATGGAGGCGAGGTTGCTAAAGTCGGGCATGCCGCCGCCGCCGCCAGCACCGGCGCCGGCGCCGCTGCGGGAGAGGTTATCGGACTCGGACTCGAGCTCCTCGACGCGGCGCTTGGCTGTCTCGTAGCCCTTCTTCATGGCGTCGGAGCCGCCGTTGCCCTCGTACTCGATGCCCTTCTGGTAGGCCTCCATGGCGCCCTTGGGATCGCCGAGGGCGAAGCGGGCGAGGCCGAGGCGGGACCAGGCCTTTGTGTAGGTGGGGTCAATGGCGACGGCGGCCTCGGCGTCGATGCGGGCGGAGGCGTGGTCCTTTGCGGCGGAGTGGGCGGCGGCGCGGTTGGAGAGGAAGACCGCGTTGGAGGGGTGGAGGGCGAGGGCCTGGGTGTAGAGGTCGATGGCGGCGGCGTAGTCCTTTTGGGCCATGGCGGCGTTGCCCTTTGACTTGAGGGACTCGGCCTCCTTCTTCTGGGCCTCGGTGGGCTCAGGGACGGAGGACGGGGAGGAGGATTGCTGTGCGCCGGCGGTGGATGTTGAGGAGGAGGGTGCGGGTGCGGATGCGGAAGTGTTGCTGTCGTCCTTGGGCTTGAGCTTCTCGTAGAGGGAAAAGACGCTGAGGAGCTTCTGGGGGCCGACGGCGGCCTTGACGGCGGCCTCGTCGGAGGGGTCGACCTTGAAGGACTCGGCGATGCAGTTGATGGCCACGTCGATGGAGTCCTTGTCGTCGGCGGTGAGGGTGCCGTCGGTTGTGGAGGTGGAGAGGAAGTCGCAGATGGCGAGCGCGAGGCGCTGCTTGGGGGTTGTTTGGGCGGCCTGTTTTGGGGGGTTTTTCACATGCTTGCGTTAGTTTTGAATTGGGAGGGATTGTTGCGGTGTGTGTGTGCGATTTGGGAATGCTTCTATCGCTGATGGGGAGGATGGGGTGGTGATGTATGGGCGTTTTTTGCGTGGTGTTGATGATGACGATGATTTCGAGAGGCGGGGAGGTTGATGAGGGCAATCAATGGGAGGGGGGAGAGAGGAGGGATTCGGCATTGCGTACCATGGCTGGTTGTGCGTTCTGGCGCCGCTTTGATATGTAGAGGAGCGCGAAGAGGGGAAAACTGAGATATACTATACGAAAAGAAAGAATGAAGCTTATTCGATTGTAAGAAAAGGGGAGGAGGTTTGAAGCGAGGAGGATGATCGGCGGAGGAGAAGCAAGATTTCCGAGATGGGAGAAAAAAATAGCTGGAGGGCCACAGATGCCACACAGATGAGAAGAGGGGACCCCGCGGCAGCCTGGTTTTGGCTCGGGTCCGGTTTGTATTATGGAGCTTGTACTGCCCGGTTTGATGGCTGAAAGTGGCAAGGCGTGGGTGCTGGAATATTCTTTGTTACCTCCGTGGAGGGGATTGATAGCAGTTTGTTCATCACAGCTGTACAGGTTCTTCCTCGAGAGTTGGAATGAATATCGTCCTGTCATTGATAAGAGAAGCATATGAAACCATCAGCTTGTTGCTGGCTAAAAATACACGTACAGCGGTAGGTGCAGCTGCACGACTGGAGATGAATATGCCGGCCATGTACCAGATCGAAGCAGCCCCTTTGCCCTGTCACCAAAAGTAGTACCATCCTGATAGACGCAGAAGTGACCTCTTCCGCAGTTGATCTTGGTCTCACCATGTCCCAGTGGGATAGATACCTGAGCACTCCCTAAGCAAGGTACGGCAATCATTCCGCCAGATTCAGTTCCGAATAGCACTTGGCCTGCCCTGTGACCACCCAAAACTCCATTCCCATGCCCTGTTTCCCGTGCTCGATGCCAGTTTGTGTCGACGCAGAACAAATCGCAATATCAGCCCGCTCATCATCGCCGCACTCACTTCCTCCTTCGCGGTCTATCTACATTCTTCACCTTGCGGTTCTGCATGGCCGCCACCTTACGAGACTTGCTGTACACCCGGATGACATCGCTCAGGACGACATAGAGGCATCCACCCACCAGACTGCGCCCCCACTGCTGCTGTAGCAGGCCAGGTCGTCCCGACGGTGACGGGCCAAACAGCCAGTGGTTCTTGGGCGGGGCTGTTGTCCAAGATCGCGGCAGCATCAACCGCAGAGCTTCACCCATGGCAAAGGAGATGCCTGGCAAAAGGAGAGCCCCAACGATGGAGTTGGACACGTTGGACAGGAGACCTCCGAGTCCCATTCTTCGTGCGGGCGGCGCTTGAGGTGCTTCCCGTTCGTTTCCCTGAGCGTGTCCGTTAGCCAGCTCGTCCTGGGCCTGGCCCCAGCGCTGGCGACCAAGCTGCTCATCCTCGGGTACCACGATCTGGACCTCGTCGTCGCCATCCTCCTCCACCTCCTCAATGAGAAGCTCAACTCGAATCTCGTCTCCCTCCTCCCGCTGCTCCAGACGAATCTCATGCTGAGCGCCCCCCCGCGCCTCGCGGCCCCCATTGTTGGCTCCGGCGGCGGGCTCCTCCTCATCCGGATCCAGCACGTCCAGGATGTTCTGAAGGAGGCCGATAAACCCTCCCTCTCCGTTGCGCTCCAGGTCTTGCCGATGAGCGCCATCGGCCTCTTGTTGCGGGTCGAGGGGTGGCAGCCCCGAGATCTGTCGGTTAAGCTTCACCTCGTACGGCATGACAAAGTCCCTCCAGAAACTAAAGTACATCTTTCGAATGATGGGCAGGGCCACCATGGCCATGCGGGGAGAGGGAGGCCACTCCAGGAAGTTGTCGTTTCGAATCATGCTGTAAATGCCGTACTGTTGGGCCAGTTAGCGTCGTCAACATTGCCATCTCGTCTGTTGAATGATGAATCTGAGGTACTCACAATGGACGCAGACTGCATAAAATATCTGTTGGTCAGCCCCGGCAGCAGCTGGCTCACGAGCAGCGTCGGCGCGACATTCATCAGAATCAGCGCATTCACAATGCGCTCCTTTGCGAAGCGCAGCGCCCCCGGCGACCGCCCGTCAATCACCATCTCGGGCCCCAGCGCGAACCGCATCAGCGCCTCCTTGCCGGCAAATGTCCACAGGGCCATGGCGCCGTACATCTGCAGGCTGAACTGGACGCCGACGGACACGCCGGTCAGCAGGATGAAGGGGCTCGCGCGGGTGAACCTCTGCTGGATGGCGTCGTGCAGCGAGGCGATGGGGTCCCAGGGCCCGTCCATCTCGATGGCGGACTTGCACACGGGGCACTTGAGCGGCTTGTTGGAGCGCTCGCAGTCCGTTACCCACGACAGCATGCAGTCCTGGTGTGCCTCGAGCGTGCAGGGGCACGGGTCGACCCACGAGCCGGGAGGGTCGGAGGGCTCTTCGTCCGTCAGGCAGATGAAGCATCGTCGCGGCGCATCGGACGGGCGGTCGACGGCGGCGGCCTGGATGGCTGCGGAGCGCGGGGAGGAGGGGGAGGGCGTAGACTGAGGCTCGGCCTTGCCGGACGAGTCCATGGCTGTGGTGGTTGTCGCTCTTCTCCTCGAGCTTTCTTTTTCTTGTCGAGGCTGCTAGCAGAGTTCCGTATGCGAGGGCTAGATTTCGGGTCGTAGCATCTTCTGCGCTTCGGTTGGGAGGACGCGGGCGAGGTGGAACAGCCGGCGAAGGGAGCGGGGGACAAGGCAAGCAGATGCAAGGGCTTTGACAGCCACAAGATGGCTGAACTGATGAGGCTATCTGGAGAGTGCGTCGCTATGCACAAAGCGCAGTCGTTGTCGGTTCTGGTGAGTCGTACAAAGACGTTGAAACGAAGTAGTAGTCAACCGCCGCTCGAAGGCGTGACGAGCTTCTTCTCCAACCACGAGGCAGCGATAATTGATGTCAGAGCGGCCCACAGAAGGCGCGGGTCGGGCCAATTAGAGCCTGGATGATGTCGGCAGCGGTGCGTTGGTACCCAAGTACTCAGGTACTGACCACTGCAAGTACCCCGACTTCCGCTTCCAGGGACTGTTGACGATGACGGACGGCTGGAGGTTATCTCAAGACTTGATTCCGTTGTTGATGGTAACATGTCATGTTGAGACGAAGAATGATGCTTCCATATGAATGCAGCTACAGATATCATTCTATCATGGAGTCAAGAGTGATTACTGCGCAAGAGTCAGCGTCTCGGTATCTACAGCAGTACCCTACACACACTTGCTGGAATGAGGATGCATCCACTCGACACCGACGTGCATCGAAATCTACAACGATGCATGTAGCCACCGTGTAACACACCATAAGGTAGCCAGCCATCCGCTGTCGATAACGTCTCAAACTCCAGACTTGCGACTACCTTACCTACGCAGTTGTATACTGGGCACATCTATCACCAACGACTCAGCAACACGGATGCGACATCACCACGATCACGACAGTAATGCGGCCTCTTAACAATGAATCGGCTCTATTGTGCTAATCCTATTGCTTTCTCATATCGCCTGCTCATTCGAACCCAAGTCCTCCACAACCCCAGCATACTGATCATGTAGTTCTTTCCGGTCAAAGGCATGATCGAATCGTTGCTCGCGTATTCGAGCTTGCGCGGTGTTGCAGAGGAACGTGGGATCGATTGCCAGCCTCCATGTCCAGGGTATTGAGGAGGTTGTTTATTTGTGCTGCGGATGGAATGGGTCAGCTCTTGTTCAGAAGCGCAACGGTTTAGAAAGAAGAGGCAACTCACAGGGCAGTTGTCACAGGTGCAGCCGGAGCCGCAGCCGCAAGAGCCAGATTCAGCACAACCGCAGCCACCCATGATGTCGAATGTTTTGATTTGGTAGAAGAAGTGTGAAGAAAGAAAAGTTGTTGTTTCTTGGAGTGAGAAGTTCTGCTTTGGAAAGGAAAAGCTAAAAGAAGATGGAGGAGGGGGGAATGGGCGGTCAGGTTTATATAGCACTTGAGATAAGGCAAGGGCAGATTTGAGTTTCAGCTACTACTCGATACTGTACTGTACAGCCCGAGATGTGCACGGGAAGGATCTAGTTTACTCTTGCTCCTTCCTGCCTTGATGCTAAGCTTTTTTACTCCATACTGTGCAGCTTTTCTTTTCTCTTCTTTTGCTACCTATTTTTTGCCCCTCATCAGCTGGCACCCCTCACTTTGGCTGACTTGTCGCTGAAGCTGACGATGAAAGCTGCTCTTTGGCACTCATTGGACCTAAATCAGCCGGTGTATGTGGGCTGAATAACGGCACATCTCTGTTTCCCTCTTCTGATACGCCGACTTCCTTCTTCCTCTTCTTTACATCTTCCTCTTCTGCCATGTAGCAGCTCGTTGTTCTCAAATCTCAGCACATGGACCCCTGTCCTTGGACAAGCGATCTCATGGGTCTGCCAGATCCAACAGTGGAGCACCAAAGGGTCGATGTGCCACCAGTCAGGCAAGAAATACGTGGGTGGGACAAGAAATACAGGCTATGCTTGGCTGATGACCAGCAACGAAACCCACGATGAATCGA